ATAAAATAAGATGGCTAAGGGGTTGTATAATGGACCCTCTGCCTCAATTAAAGTAAATGGGTCCTTGTCAGGAGCCTTTAAAATGTATAACAGTACTAGTCAGGGATGTCCATTATTGCCTCTGTATTCGTAATATCCCTGGAACCATTGCTTGCAATGCTGAGAAATAACATAGATATCATAAGAATTAGGATAGACGTAGAACACAAAGTAGCAGCGTATGCAGATGATATGTTGTTTTAGATCGCTAATCCTAGGTTGACGTTGCCTAATTTAATGGAACTATTGAAACGCTATGGGGTGTTGCAAATTTCAAAATAAATTTATCAAAATCTGAGATCTTAAATATCAATGCTGCAAAGGTGGAGATGCAGATCCTGAGAATTAAGTTACTTGGGAATAAAGCTAACTCCTTCATTAAAAAATTTGTATCAAGTTAATTACATACCATTACTAAATGAAATTAAAGATGAGTTGAGAAGACTTTCAATAGGGGGGGTCTCGTAGATCAGACGCATCAATCTGGTGAAGATGGTGATAGATCCCAAAAATCCTGTATAAGTTTTAAATGCTCCCAATATATTTACCAAGACCTTTTTTCAGGATAAGAAAAATTATATTGAGGTTTATATGGACTAACAAGAAAGCAAGAATCCGTTATGAGACTAAAAATAAAGAGAAAGGAGGATTGAACCTGCCAGATATGAGGAAGTATTACATGTCTGTGTTACTGTCAAGGGTGGTGGACTGGACATATAGTGCAGAGGTAAAAAGTTGGGTTGAAAATAGAAGGAATATTAAGTAATGTACAGTTAGAGAAGATTATTTGGATTCCACATAAGTTTCAAGTATTAGATGAAAATAGTAGTGCTCTGACACGCGGGGTGTTGAGAATATGGGATGGGTTGCACAAATCAATGGATTGGGAGTTTAATTCACTTTTGATTCCCCTGGTGGATACAACTTTTTTTTTCCGCCAGGGAACGATATTATTGCAGAAAAATGGTTTAGAAATAGAAAATGCACAAATAAAAGACATTGTAGTTAAGGGGAAGTCGTGTAAATTTCAAGATTTAAGGAACAGGAAAGATTTATTTTTTACATTAGATGAATATAGATATTATTAATTAGTACATTTTGTCTCAACACTCCCCCAGCCACTGAGAACACCAGAGGAAATGCTTCCATTTGAAAAAATGTTGTTATGGGACAGCTTGTAAACGTTATGTCCAGGATACAGTGAAGGAATTAAGTATTTGATCCCCTGCTGATTTTGAAGGTTTGCCCACTCACAAAGTCTAAAAATCAAATGGTAGGTGTATTGTAACACTGAGAGACAGAATAGCAACAAAAAACTTATTTCCTTCACTGCATATAAGATTCTTATTGAATTGAAGGGATCTGAACCTCCGATGTTCTTAGAGAAATGGGAAAGCGAATTGGGTACAAAGATGGATGAGCATCAAAAGAATAAAATGTTTAAGTTGATGCACGGGGTGGTAAACATGAACACAATAGAAATGAATTATAAATGTTTAAGTAGATGGTATTATACACAGAGTATGGCACATAAATAAAGGGAAGAAATTTCGCCACTATATTGGAGGAGTTGTGGAGAAAGAGGGACTATGACTCATTTGGTGGGAGTGTGTAAAAATTCAGGGGTATTGGAAGGAAGTTATTCAATATATACAAGAGATCTTGGGGATAACTATTCAAAAAGATCCATGGGTATGCCTATGTTATAGTACAGAGACATCAGTGAAGCAGTATAAAGGCAGTTTTATTATATCATCTAATTAGTGCTGCAAAAGGTTTAATTCCTAAATTCTGGCAGGCACAGGATCCCCCAACAATGAGAGATTGGATTAAGAGGACGGAGTATATAAACAGGATAGAGGAGTTATACCACATAGACGAAGATACAATGGGAACATTTAGAAAAGAATGGAGTAGGTGGTATGCTTTTAAATCATCTGGAAAATATTTTGAAATAATGGGAGCCCTGGTTGTAGAGTCGGAGAATGGAAATGAATAGTTGGAAAAATGTATGGTGGGATAGAATACAGGATTTTGAGTGTGGTCAGTAGACAAGGTTAAGAAAAGAAAATGAACTACATGGACAGGGGTAAATAATGGATAGGGAGGGATGGTGTGAGGGGGAAAGAAGCGTAGTTGAATTGTGTATACTTTCCTAAATGGGAGTTTGTTGTAATATGTATTGAAATAAAACTTAATAAAAGATATTAATAAAAAAAAAATATATATACCCAGTACTTTTTTTTTTATTATTTTATTTTGTAATACTGAAAATAGTTTTTCCTACTCTCGACAGTAGCAATAGGAGTGTGAACAGAGTCAAAATACAGTATACTTTTTATTGGTGCGGTTTCTCGTGTGATGAATTTTTAAATTGGTTATGGGCCTGTTCAAATTATAATTTTTACTTCTATAGCAGCTATTCCCTTGGGTCAGTTTATTAATCACTTGCCCTTCAGAGGATTTACCCCCCCCCCCCCTTCCTGACCAGGCCATTTTTTGCAATACAGCACTGTTACTTTAACTGACAAATGCAAAAAGTCATGCAACGCTGTAAATAAATTACTTTCTTTCAGTGGTATTTGATCACCTCTGCAGTTATTTTTTGTGCTATAAAAAAAAAAAAAAAAAATTTGAAAAATATATATATATATTTTTTTTTTTTTTTTTTTTGACTTTTTGCTAAAAAATATATCCATTAAAAATTTTTTAAATCCAATTTCTTCATAAATTCAGGCAAAAAAATGTTTCTGCTACATGTCTTTGCTAAAAAAAAAAAAAATACAAATATGAGTAAATGAATTGGTTTATGTGAAAGTTATAGCGTCTACAAGTGGTGGCATATACACCGGAATTTTTATTTTTTTATACTAGTAATGGCAACGATCAGCAACTTATAGCAGGACTGCGGTAGGCATTCTGACACTGCGTGGGAACTGACTGCCATTGACATCCCCAGTGACGCTAATACAGTGCTGACATTATACTAATGACACTGGGCAGGAAAGGGTTAACATCTGGGGCAAAGGGGTTAACTGTGTACTGTGTGTGTGTTTTACTATGGAGAATTGCTTTGTATTTTTCTGCTGTGCAGAGAAATACAAAGGAGTAGGTCCTTGCTGACTTGAGAGACCTGTGTTGTTTACACACAGGTCTCTTCCCTGTCAGCTTTGCCCGATGATCGCCGGATGCAGGCCGGGAATCACTGGCTGGGACCCGGTGAATGACATTCCTAGCCACCAATAGTGGCGCGCACGTGCGCCCCCTAACCGGAAATGTAAATCATGTACGTGTATATATACACACACGATTTTGCACAGCCCTGCAGCAGTACTTCTGCTATAGGGTGGTGGGCAAGTGGTTAAAGGATAAATTCACCTTTTGAAAAAAAAAAAAAAAAGTGCACATCTTTAGCAGGTACAAAATAGTGTGCATGTATTTTTTTTCCCCTAACAAGCCTGCAATCAGATCACAGATACAATGTCAGGCTCTTGCAGACTCTTAAGATAGCTGTCTGCCCGTACCTTGTACAGGCAGGCAGTTGCTTGAGAACAGGAAGATCAATGAACTACAGCGCTCACGATCTAGGGTGCATGGTAAAAACATTACATGTTACACCTCTATTTAGGGTGTAACACATTTATAACTTAGCCTTTAACCACTTGCCTACTGCTGTACATCTTTTAGGGTACATTCACACCAGTGATTTAATCTGTGAACCGTAGCGGCCCACTTTAAAATGGCAAAGTAGCAGACACTTGTTTCTGCAGTGTCATAAACACCACTAAACAAACAATCACTGGATGGTCAACATGCTTGTGAACAAATCCATATGATCTGAGCAGCTATGCAGAGCCATACAAAGCAGTGTGCAGGAGCTGACAAGGGAGAGCTCTGTATTGTTTATACACAAGTCTCTCCCCCGTTGGAGATACTCGGCGATCACCGTGTGCTGGCGAGTAAGCACCGGCCGGGACCTGGTGACTAATAGCCAAGGCCGTGAATGGTATATATACGAGTGATTTTGCCCTCCTCCCCACTGCAAGGGTAACCCACTCTTTTTGCTTATGAGGATGATAAATAAGGGGATATACTTACCTTAACTTTAGCTCCCCCACTGTCCGCTGGTCTGGAACATGGGTGCACCCCCTGAGCCCTTCTGTGCAATGCAGGACTGCTGACTCTACATTGTACGGAATTATGTCAAAGAGCTGCAACCAGCCGGCAGTGAAGGGAAGAGGCTCTAAGGGACCAGGAATACAAAGATAAAGCATCCAGGAGCAAGGCATAAGGCGAGTATTTCACTTGAATTAACAACCCCTAGGCAAAACAAACTGTTAACCCTTTCAGTGGGGAGTGGGATATGCTACAAGGGTAAAGGTTTTGTTTCAATGGAGTTCAGCTTTATAGTAGATGGTACAATAAGTCTTACGTGCTCATCAAAATTAAAAACCGGTTACGTTTTTGAACTGGAATACTGGTTTAATGGGTGAATTCAGAAAGTTAGAAAAGAAAAATATGGCAGCCTACAATATCTTAATTTTCTCTCTCTGGCCTTCTTTGGTTAGAACAAAGTGGTTAGTATGAGAAACCAGTTCACTCTTCTGTGCTCCATACAGAATAATTTTGGGTAGATATCACTTTACTATCTTGGCTGCTACTACCCAGGAAATTAAGTTTAGATAACTGTGAATAAAGGTCTTTAAAAAAAAAAATTACATGGCAGCATTGACTGTCACTTTTTATTAGCATTCTTTTTTACTTTTATTTTACGTTTTTTGCTTGGGTTGGGAACTATTTTTTTAACCTTCAGGCTCTGTAACTGAACCTGTGTAGCCTCCTCAACCTTTGGGCTTTTGCGCTTTCTGGAAGTTGGACTGGTCTCATTTTTGTCCCCAGTCCCTGCGCCATCCACTGCATTTTCTTCAGTTCTCTCAGGCTTGTCAGTCAACCAGGATACTTTAAGGGGTGGCACCCGTGGGGCGATAGCTCGCACTTCCTCTGAAAAATATATCTGAAGTTTTCTTGAATCCCAACGCCAGCACAGACTTCAAGCCAAGCACCGGTGCCACATTCTCGCTAAGACGTGGTAACAGGCAAGCGGTGACTCCCCGACTGGCACTCAGTTCAGGTACATGTTGGATGATCATTTGTGGCTTAGCGGATTTACAGACTATCACCAGGTGCACTTCATTTTTCTCTAGCGCACGGGTTACCTCATTGATACCTATTGCTAGATGTTTGCGGATGTCGCTTAATGTCCAACCTGACTTTACAGTCTCATCTTTGGCATTCTCTCCATCAAACTTCTCTCCTTCTAAATCAGGAATTTTGTCTGCTCCATTGGGGTTTTCTTTTTTTGATCTTTTACCCTTTTTAATAAATTTCTTATGAATTTCAACTTTCTTCAGCCCAACCTGGGTGAACATTTCTGTTAAGGTCTTTAATATAAATTGCATGTTCTCCCCAACAACTGGCATCCACACCTTCTCATATGGGTTGTTCAGGGAAGTCTTGGCCACAATAGGTTTGGATTTACGTATAGATCCCTTTGCGACTTTAGCAGCCATGACGATATCATCAGAAGCTCAAAAAAATTTACCAAAGACTGAAAAAAAAAAAAAGGGAGAAATATGGTTAGTAAGTATCTATAATACATTAGGTTTCAACACCAAGAAATTGTTTTTGGCTAGGGATGCAAACTTTCCGGAAATTTTGAAGCCATGACAAAAACAAACAACACGTTTTCTAATTTTTGGATAAAACTTTTAAAAAATTCAGTGTGGAGTAGTTTTTAAAAATTGAAACTCATTTTGTTTCACTGGGAACATGAAATTCAGTGTATATCTATAAATAATAAAAAGGTATTATACTGGAAATAAAAGTACAGCTTATTCAGTAAATAAATTAAAATTTGCTTTTTTTTTTAAATTTTTTTTTTTTTTTTTTTTTAATTACAACTGGAATACCAAAGACTGTATATAAATTATATATATATGTATATGTATAAATATATATATATTTCAACTTTAAATGAGAACAGGTAACCACCCCCTTTTCCTCCAATAGGGATACGGACACTGGGAGGGTGTTAGGTCCACCTCAATATTTAAGCTCAACAGCAAGGTTTAACATTTGTGTGGTGCTTAACCACTTGACAAACGGGCTATAGCCGAATGATGACTACAGCGCGGTTGTCCAGTTCTGGGAGGGCGTCATAAGATGTCCTCCCAGAACACACCTTCCCGCACCCCCGGGGGCACTCATCTGGCGATGTGGCAAAAGGCCCATCACAGCGGCCTTTTACCACGTGATCAGCCGTGTCCAATGACACAGCAGATCACTGGTAAATGCAGTTGCCAGTTATCGGCTGCACTTTTCTCATGCTGTCACAGCGTGAGCAAAGTACTGCCGATAACCGGCAATTGTCAGAGGACAGATCGGCACCGATCATCAGGGCACTGATGATCAGTGCCCAGCAGTGCCCCCCACCAGTGCCCAGCAGTGTCGCCCATCTGTGCCCAGCAGTACCACGCACCAGTGCCGCTTATCAGTGCAGCCTCATCAACGCACATCAGTGAAGGAGAAAAAAATTACCTGTTTGCTAAATTTTATAATAGAAACAAAGAAAAACTTTTTGATGGTAGAGAACATTCATAGGAATCATTTATAGGTTATAGATAAGCTAATCTGTAAAATGTAACCTCTTGCCTGTCAGTTTCTGTCCTCTCAGGTCTTAATTATCTACTGGATCCTAACAATCACCCAACTGTAGGAGGTACAAGATGGAGTCCACAAGCAAACTAAATTGGAGACGTTCACCCGTAGTGCCCCCTCGTCGCAGAAATGCATAATGCTCATTTGAGAAGTAGTGTTACCTGAATTGTATTCCAGGTTTTCTTGTCTTCAGCTGAGAGAACTTGCAATAATTTAAGACTTTACATAAAGTCTCAGAAATCTTTTACTAAGGTCTACATATTATATAGTTTGAATACTATGTCATAGATACATTATTTATCATTGTATTAAAAGAACACATTCCATGCTGCTTTTTCTTAAATTTTTTAAGTAAAAAACAAAACAGCTTTTGAAAGAAAAAAATAAATAAAACAAACACACAGGAGGGAAAAAATAACCTGTCTCTTTCTTAATTTTTCTGTTTCTTCTCTAGGCCTTCCCATCTCTAGTTTTGGCACGACTAATACTGTATTACAAGATAGCCATACTCAGACTAACAAACCAAAAAAAGCAAAATCACTTAGGGCAAAGCAATAGCATTGCTTGAAAGTGACCCTGTAAAGAGAAGCATGGGAGCTGTTATTGCTTCCTCCATTTAAATTATGTTTGTTGCCTGGCATCACATACCTTAAATAAGCACGCTGCAAATGAGTGCCCCAAAAGGGTCAGATTTCCTTATCTCTTGTTCCAGGCCATTGCCTCAGGAAGCGTTGAAACTGATGCATCAGAATGACAGTCAGGGAACTGGCATTTTCAGAAAGAATGGCACCCTGCATGACAGGTTACTTTTTAATGCCCCCCTCCCCAGCAATTATCTATTCTGCAGTCCTTTTAGCTATATGTGCCTTCACTTTTTCTCATGGTGACAATGTTGTCACTGTGACTGGTGTCATCTGGTACACTGACAGCTATAAGAAAATGCAGCTTGTAACCTTTCACCACCTCACTAAAAGTGTGACTCTGTCCATTAGAATGATCTCACACACACTTTATCCAAAACTTAAAGCTGAACTCCAGGTTTACCTTTACTGTAAATATTTTGTTTGGGCCAAGCTGGCCAAACAAACCTCTTATTTTACCAATAGATGCATCCAATGTCAATGAATAAACTATGTAATATCGACTACATACAGTATACAGTTCTGTTTTCCAGCAGCAGTACAGGACTTTCGGCTGCTGTCAGAACAAAGTTGAATTGGGCTGAGCGCTGCTCACAGGAAGCCTTGTATTTTTATGAATGAATACAAAGCTTCCTCTGATAGGGGTGAAGGTGGAGATAGTGACATCATCTGCAGCAATTGGCAAAGGAAATAGTTTGTTTGGTCCAGCTTGGCCCAATCCAACTAGTTAAAGGCCAAAGTTCACCTTTAATTAATACACATATTTTTGCAAGTAAAAAAATATGCATTATTTTTTTAAAACAGGAGCCTGCAAAGTATTGTCAAGCTACTGCGTACAGTGTTTACAGCCCTGTGCCCGTACCTCTGTATGGGCTGTCATTTTCAGAGCAGTAGGCAGCATGAATGAACTATGAGCGGGCTGATCTGCACACTAGCAGTTCATTTAAACTACAAGTCTGTCTGCCATGATGGAAGACAGAACTTGTAGTTTCTTCTGTAGATTCCTGTGAATGATGTTGGTGTGTGGGTGGAGCTCTCGTTTTCAAAATTTGACAGCAGTTGGGGGGGGGGGTGACTTAGAACATATCACACCCAAGGGTCCATGCACGTTAGCTGGCAGAAAATCACCAGACCAGAACCTCTGTCAGAAAAGCAGCATCAAAACTGCTCATAGTGGCTCATTATAAAAAAATAAATGCTCATTTATACAAGTGTTTTTTTACCAAAACTGAAATGGACAGTTTTTTAAAAATTATTACGCAATTTTTTTTTTAAAGACACTTTAATGATAAAAAAACAACATATATATACCCCAATTTTTTTGTAAAATATGAAAGAGATGATGTTACACCAAATACCCAACATGTCATTCTTTAAAATTGCGCACGCTCGTGGAATGGCGTCAAACTACAGTACTTAAAAATCTCCATGGGTGATGCGTTCAAATTTTACACAGATTACCAGTGTAAAGTTACAGAGGTCTAGTGCTAGAATTATTGCTCTTGCTCTGACGTACATGGCAATACCTCACGTGTGGTTTGACACCGTTTACATACGTTGGGTGGCCTACGTATACGTTCACCACTACCGCGCGGGGGCACTTTAAACTTTTTTTTTTACATTGTCCCTTTAAAAAAAAAGTTTAATCACTTTTATTCCTATCACAAGGAATGCATGCATCCCTTGTGATAGAAATAAGTAGTGACAGGTCCTCTTTATGAAGAGATATGGGATCAATAAGACCCCACATCTCTCTTCTATAATGTAAAGCATTAGATTAAAAAAAAAAAAAAAGGGAAAAGAAAATGGCTTTATTTACAAGGCGCCGGAACCGGAAGTGACATCGCTCTGGTCCTCCAAGGGCATAGAGATGAGTGGAAGTCATCTTTCCTTTCCTTCACTTATCTCTATGCACAGCGCTGGGATCGTTCGCTGGTTTCTCAGGTAAGCCTGAGAACTACCGAGCGGCGGCGGATGGCGGCAACGGCGAGGTTATTTTCAGCACCTGTATCGGTGCTTATTTTAATATCGGCCAACATCCAATAGGGGTGTTTGGGAAGTTTCGGTGCATCCCTACTTTAAACTGTAAGGTCAACTTTTCATGAAAAGGAACACTACACCCTCCCCACACACCAGTTCTCACTGTACTTACCTCCTGGATGATTAGTTTTCACTGCCCATGCAGCTGGTGCACTCTTTTTTCCTCCCTTTCTTTCCTTAGAGGCGTCGGGACAGATCACAGCAATTTAGATGCTCTGCAGTGATTCTAATTCTAGAAGACGACTATGGCTTTCAAATCCCCAGACTCTGCTGCAGTGGCTGCATGGGCAGGGAAAGCTAATCAACCAAATGGAGCTTGCTCTTTGTTATTTTTTGTGCAAAGGCGGCCTTGTCTTTAATCACCTCAATACTTGACCACTTTCACCCCTTCCTGCCCAGGCCATTTTTCAGTGCCATCACACTTTGAATTACAAATTACTCGGTTATGCAAGACTGTACCCAAATTACATTTTTATAATTTTTTTTTTTTTTTTTTTTTTAAAGACAGATGGAGCTCTCTTTTGGTGGTCTATAATCACCAATGGGTTTTTTTTTATTTTTTTTCTATAAAAAATAAAAAACTACCAGAAATGTTGAAAAATCTGCTACATTTCTTGAGTAAAAATGACCTAAATCGGTGTATATTATTCAGTCTGTGTGAAGGTTATAGTCTACAATCTATGGTATATATACACTTACCGGACTCTTTATTAGTTACACATGTTCAATTGCTTGGTAACACAAATTGCTAATCAGCCAATCACATGGTAGCAACTTAATGCATTTAGGCATCTAGATGTGGTGAAGACAACTTGCTCAACTGAGCACAGAATGGGGAAAAAAGGGGATTTAAGTAACTTTGAATGTGGCATAGTTGTGGTTGACAGACGGGCTGGTTTGAGTATTTCAAAAACTGCTGATGTACTGGGATTTTCACTACTCAGACCAGCCCATCTGGCACCAACAATGTTGCCATGGTCAAAGTTACTTAAATTGGTTCTAAAGGCTCAAGATTTTTTTACCTTCATGCATCCTATGAATGAAGGTAAAATACCTTCTGTGTACAGCACCCCCCCCCCCCC